ACCCCGCTATTACCCAGCACCCAGGGAGGGGGGCGGCCACGGGGGTCCCGGTGCTCACGCCGGCTGCTGGTGACGGCTGCTGCTGGTGATGGCGGGATGTGCGGATGCGGGATGCTCGGCCGCGGGATCCGGGATGCGCGGCCGTGGGATGCGGGATGCGCGGCTGCGGGACGCGCGGACGCTCGGCCACGGCTATTTGCGGAGCTGGAGGCTCTCCAGGAGGGCGCGCTTGTGGCCGGGGTCCAGCACGCCGGCCTCCTCCAGGTCCTCCTCTGTGATGTCACTGGGGAGGGGGGCACAGGCGTGGGGCTCGCCGCCCCCGGGGGGGGTACCTCAGCCCCTGGGGGGCACCCCAGCCCCTGGGGGGCACCCCCTCAGTGGGCACAGGAGCCCCCACTCGGGTTGCTGGGTGCCCAGGCAGCCTCCCCCCGCCCACCCCGCGGGGCTACGCAGCCCTGGGGGGGCGGCAGGGACCCCCAGGGGCAGTAGGGACCCCCCCAGGGCAGCACCCCACGGGGGTCTCCCCAGGGAAGGGGGTCTCCCCAGGGCAGGGTGCTCCCACCCAGGCATCGCTGTGACCCCCTGGGGAGAACGCGGACCCACCGGGGCTGGCGAGGTGGGTGGGGGTCCCCCCCCATGCCGTCCCGGGGGGTGGGGGGGCCACTCACCTGAGGAACTCCAGGTCGTCCCAGCCGTTGCGCACCAGCCCCTCCTCGTACCGCTCCAGCCCCAGCGCCCGCAGCCACTCGCCCACACCGGGCACGGCGCCCACGCCACGGCCCGCCTGGCACAGCGCCTGCGCCGCAGCACCCACACCGTCAGCCCTGCGTCACCCCAGCCCCGCACCCCAGGGGACCCCCAGGATGGGACCCCCAGGATGGGACCACCCTGTGCCGTGGAAGGTCCCAGACCCTAACACCCTCAGCGCACCCCCGGCGTCCCCCCCAAAGGGAACGCCGATGGAGGGCGCTGGGGGGGAGGTCCCAGCACCCTGACCCCCCCCCCAAACACCCACCTCCTCAGCCAGGTCCTCCTGGATGCTCTCCCGGATGGAGTGGGGGGGGAAGGCGAGGGGGCGGCCGTAGTCGGGGTGCAGGCAGCGGGGGGGCAGCTCCAACCGCCCCCCCTTGGCCAGCAGTGGCCGGGGGGGGGCCGCCCTCCCCTTCCCTCCGGCGTAGTCCACCTCGCTCAGCGTCTTGGCCATCTGCAGCACCGAGCAGGAGCGGTCGTCCAGTAGCCCCCCTGCCACGGGCAGCCCCCCAGCACCATGCAGCCCCCCGGTAGCGGGAGTCCCGCCAGGCCCCTCAAGCCCGAATCCGGCGCTGGCAGACGGCGGGGGCCGGGGGTGCAGCTTGGGCGGGGGGGACTCGCCGAAGGCGGCACCGCCCACGGCCGGCCGCGGTTTGGGCTCCTCGCGCCCGACGGGCACCGGCAGCTCCTTGGCGCTGCCGAAGAAGGGGTTCGGGGGCAGCTCCAGCTCCCGCGGCAGCGGCGGCGGCGGGAAATCCGGCGGCGGCAAGTTGAGGGTGCCGGCGTCCTCATCCGAGGAGCTCTCCTCGCCGCGGCACGCCGGCGGCTGCCCGGCTGAGGGGTGCCGTCGTCGCTCGGGCACCGCCAGCTGCACCTTGGCCTTGGGGGCCGGGGGTTTGCCGGGGTCCCCGGGTGCCAGCAGCTGGTGCGGGACCCCCTCCAGCACGTAGTACGCCGGGTTGTTGAAGCTGTTCTTCAGCGGCCCCGCCGCCGGCTCCGGCATCGCCTCCGCCTTGGACCTGCGGGCACAGGGGTGAGCGTGGCACCCCCGGGCATGGGGGGAGACGGCAGGTGTGTGTGTGTGTCCCAGCCCTGCCCGTCCCCCCTCACCGGCTCGGGGCGGCCTCATCCCTGGCAGTGCCACGGTGCGGTGCGGGGGGCCGGGGGGCCGGCGTGGCGTTGCCCTTCTCGGGCTCCTCCGGGAGCTTCGCCGGGACGGCAGCGGCAGCGGGCGGCTCAGCACCGGTGGGCGTCCGCCCCACCGACCTGGGTGACAAGAAGTGTCGGGTGCCCCATGGAGCTCGGCCGCCTCCAGGACAGGACTCAGACCCCCAGGATGGGGCTCAGACCCCCGGGACGGGGCCAGCACCGCTCTCGGATGCACCAAGCCCCCCCATCCCTGACCCACGTGGCATAAGAGCCAGCACCGGGACTGTCCCCAACCACGTCACATACGCCATCCCAGAGGGATGCTCTGAGCGATGCCTGCGCTCCCACGGCACTGGGGCATGCTCCAGCCCCCCCCGCCCCCCCCCAGGACCCCCAGCTGGGGGCCACTGGTTCTCCCCCGCCCCACCAAGCCCAGTCCCCCGTACTTGGCATAGTCCTGGTTGGCTCTGGCACCCAGCGGCACCTTCCCTTTGCCGGCCGCCGTCTCATCCTTATCGATGCTGATCCACTCTGCCAGGGAATAGGGGCTCAGCGGGGGGGGGTCCCGTCCCCACTGTCCCCCCAGGGTGTGGGGGGGTCCTCACCATAGAGCCTCTCGCGGGTGCCCAAGCGCTCGGCGGGCACCCGGACCTTCATGGAGCCGCGGATGTTGCCCGTCTCCTCGCCGCGGTGAGACAGGTAGGTGAGGAACTGCTGCGCCGTGCTGCCGATCATCGACTTCAGAGCAATGACACATTCCCCTGGGGACGGCAGAGGGGTTGGGGGGGGTCGGGGGTCTGCATCCCTAAGGAAGCCCCCTGGGAGGGCGGCGCGGTGGCAGGGGGAGCCACTGTGGGTAGTCACCATAGGACTCGTAGCCATCGAGGGATTTGACAGTGAGCAGGAGGTGCTGGTCCTGCAGGTACTCGATCTCAGAGAGGATGGGCTTCAGCTGCAGGCGAGGGGATGGGATGCTGGCACCGGGAGCAGGGGGGGTCTCCCTGCCTGCAGCCCCCCCTGCCCCAGCACCAGCCTTGCCTGCCCCCAGCCCTTCCTCACCGTGGGCAGCTGCCGGGACGACCATTGCACCTTGAGAAAGTTGATGTTGTCGCTGCTCTGGCTGTCGTTCTCGAAGCTTTTCTTGAACTCTGGGGAGGGGTGGGGGGACACAGCACAGCCCCCATCAGCCCTCTGAGCCGCCCCCCAGGACCCCCCCGCCATGGTGCCATCCCTCACCTTCCAGGCAGGTGGAATAAAACTCGATGAAGAACTTGGTGCGACTGGCCGTCTTCACGATAGCCTCGATGCTCTCGAACTCAATGTACGCCTGCTCAGTAGACTTGGAGAGCCCTCCAGGGAGAGGCGAGGCGTCAGGACCGCCACCCCCGGGAGCCTCCCCTGCCTTGAGGGAGAGACGGGACCCACAGGGAGGGGAATGGGGTGTCTCCTTGGGCACAGGCACCTTTTTTGGAGACGAACTGGGACGTCACCCCCACCTCGAAGGAGCCGAAGACAGGCGAGTGGTCGCTGGTGACGATGTCGTCCGTGCACCCTGCGGCCAGTAGGGATGGGGGGGTGTCAGGCTGGGGTGGGGGGGGGCCTGTCCCCGGGGCAGCGGGGGGGACAGTGTCCCAAGGAGGGGGACACGCAGCTCACCGTAGGCGTTGCAGTTGACGTGAGTCTCGGGGTAGGACTTCCAGAGGATGCGGTCACACCAGGACGGCACGTTGGTGCGGACCTGGCAGGGACAGGGAGTGTGTGTGTGTATTGGGGGTGTCAGGCTGGGGTCCCCCCCCACCCTAACTACCCCCCCCCAAGCACCTACCCCTGTGGGCTTCTGCTTGTGCCAGACATAGGTGTCCCGGGAGCCCCGCTCGTAGCGGTAGGTGGGGGGGAAGGTGATCTCCTCCTCACCTGCACCAACAGCCGGGTGGGGAGGGGTGTCAGGACAGTCCCAACAGTGGGGGCTGACCCCCCCGGATCCCCCCCCCCAAGCTCCCCCAGCCCTCACCAAAGCGCAGGAAGACCTTGTGCTTCTCCTTCTCCAGGTTGAGCTGATCCACCTTGAGCAGCGGCTCCAGCTCCTTGCGGCTGATGTAGTTGAGGATCTCCTGTGGGACAGAGGGGCTTGCACGGGGTCGAGGGGGGGACACAGCAACAGCCCACCCCCCCCCCCCACCATGCCGCCCTCCCCAGCACCTGGATGTCCATGTCCAGGCGATAATTGAGGTCCCCAAACCAGAAGAGGTGGGTGAAGCGGAGGGAGATGTCGAAGGAGCTCAGCTGCTTGTCCCCCAGAGAGAGCAGGCGCAGGATGTCCAGGTAGTTCTGGTTCCTCCTGCCCGGGGTGGGGGACATGGGATGTCACCGGGATGGGGGTTGCACAGCCCCGGGGCAGGATGAGACCCATCCCGGTGCGTGGGTGCTCACCGTGCCGTCTTCTCATTGCCGGAGGTGAGGTGGCAGTTGACGAAGCCGAAGGAGGTGCCGTTGAACATGAAGGAGACACCCACGGCTCCCTTGTTCCCTGCAGGGACACGGGGATGGGGGCAGGATCAGGTCGGGGTGGGCGGCTGCCCCAGGACCCACAGGCTGCCCACCCTGGGGGGACGGGGACCCAGCTGTCCCCAAGTCCCAGTGACGGGGCACAGTCACCACCCAGGCTCCCAGCATGCACCCAGACCCTCCTCGTGCAACACACACATGGCCAGACCCCTCCTCACGCAATGCACACGCATCCAGACTCCTCATCATGCAATGCACATGCTCCAGGACCCCTCCCTGTGCAACACACGCAACACCAGGACCTCCCTCCATGCAACACACACATGCCAGGACCCCTCCTTGTGCAACACATGCAACACCAGCCCCCCCCGCCATGCAATGCACAGGTGCCTGGACCTCTCCTCATGGAATACATGTGCTCTAGGGCCCCTCCTCGTGCAATGCACACACCCGGACCCCTCCCTGTGCAATGCATGCAACACTAGAACCCCTCCCCATGCAACACCCGCCTGCCCAGACTCCTCCTCGTGCAACACACGTGCTGCAGGACCCTTCTTTGTGCAACACGTGCAAGATCAGGACCTCCTCCCGTGCAATGCAGACATACCAGGACCCCTCCTCATGCAGCGCACCCCCACCCTGACCCTGTGTGCCCCCATCCCCATGTCCCCCCCCATGTGCCCGGCAGCTCCGGCCCCTACCCAGGGTGTTGGCAATCCCCGTCTTGACGCTGGACGTGCTGACGTGGCTGATGCGGTTCTCGTGCTCTGGCTTCACCAGTACCACCACCTTGATGTTCCACAGGGACTGCATGGCCACCTGTGGGCCCACGGCCACCATCAGACCCCCGCTTCTGCCAGGACACACTGAGGAGCGGGTCCCTGTCCCCCCCATGCCGTGGGTGCCAGGGAGCTGGGTGCAAGGTGCCCCTCGGGTGCGGACCGTTGCAGAAGCCCCCTCCTTCACCCCGGCATCTCCCACCAAGGGCTGTTCCCCCACGATACCCACTGTCACCAGCACCCCAGCACCACGAGACCAGCCCAAAACACCCGGTGTCGGCAGAGCCGGAGCATCCACAGCCTCCCCAGGAGCCAGAGGGACACGGAGCATCACCCATCTCCACCACCCACCAGTGTCTGCATCCCTTGGCCCCCAGGACCCCTGGGTTCTTACCGGGCGGTACTCAACCTCCGTGAAGTCCTTCAGCACGGCGCGGAGGAAATCCACCCACTCCTTGTCCCCCAGGGAATTCTCCTGGGTGCCAAAGACATAAATGTCGTGGGGGATGGCGACCGTCACCTCGTCCAGCGTCTTTCCCAAACCCTTGGAGGTGAACCACGACGTGATGCTCTTGGGTGGGGGCACACTGCCTGCAGTGCAGGTGGGACAGGGGGGAGCAGCATGGTCAGGGGGGGACCCCAGGGGCTCGGCCCCCTGCAGCGGGTCCCCCCCTGGCCCCACTCACCCATGTTCCAGGTGCCGATGAAGATGGAGATCATGTCAGGCTCGTCCTGGTGGGAATGCTTGTTCTTCATCAGCTGCAGGAGCTGGCAGAAAGCCTCCCGCTTCTGCAGGGGGGGAGGCAGTGAGCAGGGGGGCAAGGGGCTTCCCATGGCCGGGATGGGGCCCCCCCAGCCACCTCCAGCCCCCGTGATTCGGCTCGGCCAAACTTGGCACCTCTTGGGCACAGGGGACTGGGCAGGGACCACCCTGGCGACGTCCCCCAACCACTGGGCACCCAGCACCCATCCCCAAGCCCCCATGAGGGACCAGGGGTTAAATCCTGCACACCCCCATCCCTGTGAAAGACCCTTCTTCCTCACCCCCCCATCCCGGCCGAGTGTGACCCACCCGGGCGCTGACGAAAACGAAGTCTTTCCGTTGCGTTTTATCCTTTTCCTTCTCGAAAACGATGCCCAGTTTGTTCTGCACCCGCTGCGACTTGATCAGCTGCCGGACTGGGAGAGAGCGGGGAGAGGTGGTGGGGTGGGGGGGGAGTGCTGGGCTCCGGCTGCGCACCGTGCCCCCCCCCCCCAGCGCTCAGGCTCTGGGGGACACCCAGGGTGGACACCCAGGATGGGGACAACCAGCTGCTCCCACCCCACCACCAAGCCCCATCGGGACGCTGCCCCTCCGCTCCAGCGCAAAGTCAGCCCCAGCCGCCAGCCTGAGGTGCAGGGACCGCCCCCCCAGTCTCCACCGCCGCATGCCCCCCCCCTCACTCTTGTCGTGGGTGAAGGTGTTCCAATCCTCCTGGGAGTCCTTCTGCTTCTTCAGCACCACCAGCTTCCCCCCCTCCACATCCACGCTCAGCGTGTACTTCTGCGACTTGCCGATCTTGGTCAGATCCCCCAGGGTGACGTCCAGCTTCACCTGCGGCGGGACACCGGGTCGATGCCGAAACACCCCCCCCGGGGGACCCTTCAAGTGCGGGGAGGGGGGGTCGGGACTCACCTCGAAGGTCTGCACCGGGATGCTCTTGGCCTTGCGGGAAAGGGGCTGGGGGGGGGCGGCGGGGGTGGCCGAGCTCATCTCCTGCAGGGCTTTCAGCGCCTGGCAGAGCCGGCGTCAGCGTCAGCCGAGCGCCGGGCACCGCAACCCCCAGCCCCCCCAGCCCCATCAGAACCCCAGTCCCCCAACCCCTCCCACCCACGGGGTCCCCTCCGTGCCACCCAAGCGGCTCGTTTTGGCCCCGGCACCAACCGGATTGCGCCCTGACCATACCTGGCGCAGGACCCAGCAGAGACCCCCACGGTGGGACCCCCACCCCGGCACCCCCGGCCTCACCTTCTTCTCGATGCTGGAGAGGAAATCCTTCAGCACCGAGAGCTTCAGCACCAGGCTCTCCAGCTCCTGCTCCCCACTCTGCCCCGCCGTCTGAAACCCCCCGGCATGTCACAGCCGGCCCCGGCACCACCACGGCACCAGGACGGCACCCCCAGATCCACCCCAGGCCCCCAGAAGGGCAGGACCCCCCTGGCACCGTGGGATGTGGGCAGGATGGGACCCCCGGCGCCACCCCAGCCCCCCAGAAGGGCAGGACCCCCCCGGCACCGTGGGACAGGGCAGGACGGGTGGGTGTTTCTCCACTGGCTTTCCCACCACCCACGCGTCCCTGTGGATGGTGCCATGGCATGTCCGTGGGCACAGCCCCCACGGGTGGGGGGGATGGCAGCCCCTCACCTGCTGCAGGATTTTGGAGACCATGGGGGAGCTCTGCTGGTCAAACACCTTGGAGAGGATCTCCAGCCCCGCCAGCACCTTGTCCACCTCGCTGGGGAGGGAGAGAGGAACGGGCTCAGCAGGCGGCACGGCCGGTCGTCTTTCCGTCCATCCGTCCCGGTGCCCGGCACCCACCTGTGCAGCCGTTTGCAGGAGGTGACGAGGGTCTTGTTGAGGTGGGGGAGGCTGCTGGCCCCCCCCTTCACTGCCTCCAGGTCCAGCGAGTAGCTGCCCTTCAGGTACTCGTGGGAGATGCTGCTCAGGCCGTTGGTGCTGCAGGGAGGGAGCCCCGAGGGTGAAGAGCCGGCAGGGATGGGCAGGGGACGGGCAGGGGTGAAGCCCCTCACCTCTCCGCCGTCCCCTCCGGCACAGCCGGCCCCAGGCCGGTGGGGCTGAGCCCTGCCGAGGTGCTGGAGAAGCTGGTGGAGCCGGAGCGCGGCGGTAACGGCGGCTTTTCATCCTCTCCATCTGCAAGGGGGCGATGGTGGAGGGGGGGGTCAGTCACAGCCCCGACAGGGACCGGGGGTCCCGGGACCCCATCCGCTCACCCAGGTCACCCTGCCGTACCCGAATAGTCCCTCTCCTCCGCGTTCTCCTTCTCCTTCTCCCTCTCGACAGGGAAAAGGAGGGTGCAGACCAGCCCCTGGTTGGGCTGCAGGTACAGGGCGATCAGCTCGCTCAGCGTCTTGAAGCGTCTCACCTGCACCCCCTGCGAGGTCTGCGGGGACACGGGGACCCTCAGCGCCTGCCGGCGGGGTCACCCGGACCCCCCCCCATGCAGGGACACCCCCCTCCCCCACAAGATTGGGGGGGCGGCTGACCCCGGGAGCCCCAAAGCTGAGCCCCGTGGGGAGCGGGGTCCGGTGCACGTGGCAGCCCGCCGCAGTGCCGTGGCTGCGTGCCGGCAGGGCTGGCAGGGTGCAGGCAGCAGGCAACAGGCAGCAGCCATCCCTCGGCCTCCTCCCTCCCGGGGGCGGCTTTTTCCTGCCTGCCCGGACGGCACAAAGGGGTTTCTGTTGCTCTAAAAATACCCGGCGACGCTGGCCGGCCAAAATGGGTGCTGCCGAATCGTCCGGCCGTGCCGGAGAGCCGGGCACGCTGGTGGCACAGGGCCGAGGCCGAGCCCCGCTCCCCGCACCCAGCCCCACGGGAGAGGCGGGGGGCAGGGAGCTCTCAATGGGGTGCTGTGCCCACCCGGCACCAGCCCACCCCCCCAACCAGCACCCCCAGCAAGGAGCTGGGTGCGGGTTGGGGGTCCCAGCACCCAGACCTCCCGCAGCCCACGCCAGGACCACCCCCCCACAAACTGCTTCCCATAAGGGGGTGCCCCTGCTCCCAAAGAGCCGGGGGCTGGTCTGTGTCATGGCGCGGGGGGGCAATGCCCACCTGCACGGCCAGGAAATCCTCCTCGTCGGGCAGGATGCGGTAGGTGTGGACGTGCTTCTGGAACCTGCAGGCAGCCGGGACGGGGAGGGTGTCAGGCAGAGGATGCCGGGGGACACACACATGGCATCCCCCCATCTGCCTGCACAGCCTCCCCCTAGACCCGGGGGACGCCAGGCACCCGTCCCATGGGACCCTCATGCCACCGGCTGGGCACGAGCATCCACAGCGGGAAGGAGCTCCAGTACCACCATTACCTATGGCATGCAACGAGCTGCCAGTTCTCAGCCCAGCTCCCATGGGAAAATGCCTGCAGGATGGGTGCCGGGGGTCCCAGATGGGTGCTGGGGGTCCCAGAGTGACCCCCTGCTTGCTCTAAGGGAGCCCCCCCATCCAACACCCCCATGTCCGCAGGCAGTGCCGCAGCCTGCCCCATGCCACGCCACGGTCCCAGCTCCGCTGCCCGTCGGCGTGCCGGAGCGGGCGTCCCCTGCCCGCACCGCAGGCAGGATCAGGCAGCCGCTGGCAGCTGGGAAGCCAGGAAGCAATTTATTTTTCAATGGAAGCTTACAGGAACCGGGGACGCGATCCCGGGGCAGGGGGTGACGGGCGGCGCTGAGAGACGGGGTGCCGACGCCAGCGGGCACGGGGAGCAGGACCGGGACCCCAGGCACGTCCCCTCCGTAGCAGGGTGACACCAGGAGCCAGGGACCACCGGCACGGCCAGACTCCCCCCCAACACCAGTGCCAGTGGCAGGGACAGTGGCTCCCGGGCTGGCCCCCGGCCACGGCACTCGTGGAGGTCACCGTGAACACAGAGGCGGCTGTCACCGCGCCAGGGCCACCTGTCAGCTCGGCTGCCGTGTCCCCTGCTCCGGTGGCACCCCATCGCAGGGCTGGGGGACCAGGACGCGTCCCACTGCCACCATGCCATGCCCCCGGAGGGGGTGCCGTGCCCTACAGCACCGGGTCCCCTGGTATCACCCCACTTGTCGCAGTGCTGGGTCCCCTGGTGCCAGCCCACTCCCCATGGCACTGGGTCCCCATCCTCCCCCAGCACCCCAGGGGTGCAGCACCAGCTCCCCCAGCATGGGAGACCCCCAACTGGTGTCAAGGGGCTCTGTATGGGGACCCTCAGTTGGTGGGATTGGGGGGGGCACAGAGAGACCCCCAGCTGGGAAGGGGAGCACAAGGGGTCTCTGTGGGAAGCCCTAAAGCACAGTCAGGGTCTCCATAGCAGAAACCCCAATGGGGGAGTGATGGGGGGGCTGTATGGGGAACCCCAGCACAGGGTCAATATGGGGAACCCCAAACTGGGGGGGCAAAGGGGGCCCATAGGAAGAACCCCAGCTGGGGGGAAAGCACAGGGGGGTCTCTATGGGTAACCTTGGGCAGGGGGCCTATAGGGACCACCAGCACAGGGGTTAGTATGGGGGACCCCAGCGGGGGGGGGTGACCCCCACAGGCGCCGTCCGGGGGGGGGCCACCCCCCCCAGATGCCCAGCCCCGCACCGCTCGCGGCTGCTATTTTGGTGAGTAATGCCAGGAGGCCGGGGAGTGCCGGGCTCATGCCGGGGCTGCCGGCACAAAGAGCCATTATGTGGGAGCGAGGCTGCTGGTGAGCGCCAGGGCTCCCCGCCGCCTCTGCCGCGCCAGCCGGCATCCCGCCACGGCCCGGCCGGCACAGTGGGGACCACCCGTGCACCCACCACCACCTGCCCCCCCCCGGAGAGGAGGGCACCCACCGCCCTCCTCCAACCAGGAGTGGGGTGCAGGAACCCCGGCGAGGAGGGCACCACATGCCCGCCGGCACCACCCCAGCACTGCCGTCCCCACAAACCAGCGGAGAGCCAGGATGGGGGCTCCAGCCCCCCACCCTCTCCTGGGACACCCCACGGGGACCGTCCCCGCCGGCATCGCCCACCAGCCGCCAAACGGCGATGCCAGCGCTCCCCAGGGTGCCACCGCCGCGTGCTGGCACAGCCTGCTCTGGCGAAGCCCGGTTGTGCTGTGGCTGGCTCAGCAGAGGCCGCGGCGCGTCGGCAGGAGGGTTAAAGGAAGACGGCGCTGCCGGGATCCCGGCGCAGTTCCCTTTCCTCCTCCTGCCCCCGCAGTTATTTTTAGGCCCCGGCGGCGGCCGCTGCCGACGGGCTCAGCAGCCCCAGCCGCCTCCGCGCCGGCCAGAGGGCTGCTCGGTGGGACCATGGCACGCTCCTGCCCACTGCCCGGGCAGGGACCCCCACCGGTCGTCGCCACGGCAGGGTCTGGCGCAGTCGCCCACTGTGGCATCCCCAGGCGAGGGGAGATGCCGGGGCTGGCACCCCTCTTACCCCAGCAGCTGCACCACGACCCCACTGCAGCCGCCTGACACCCACCCAGGTACCCCCGACGTGTCCCCCAGCCCCGTGGCACCACCAGTCACCAGTATTTGCAGGGGCGAGGCATGCTATCCCGGCGTTGTGCCGCCGGTGCCGCGTCCCCAGTGCCGCTCGCCACCCTGGCTTCGTGGTGGGGATCCGGCGGCCACGGCCATGCTGCGCCCACGTGGCCGGGAAACCAAATTCGCAAGAGCCACTGGCCACGGGGAAGGAGGACAGGGCCACCACGGAGGCCGCACGCCCTGCGCCGGCACGGCACACGGCACAGCCCCAGGCCAGGGCAGGCCGGCTCACGGCAGACTCCTGGTTCTCCCTCATTTGCCATGAGGAGCCAGCGGCTGTCGGTGCCCACGGGCTCTCGGGGAGCGGAAAAGCCTCATTTCGAGGTGCCCTCGCCGCCGTGCCGCACCGCCTGCCCCACAACCACATCAAGGTCCCGGCGCCGGTGCAAGCCACCGGCCCCAAGCAGAGCCGGCGGCGCGCCCCGGGATCACCCCGGCACGGTGCTGAGCTGCGCTGCCAACACGCCGAGGTGCCGGCAAGGCCCCCGGGGACGGTGGGGCGGCCGGGATCCGCTGCTCGGTGATGGCTGGGCTGCCGCCCCGGTGCCACCGCACACTCAGCCCCAGGCTGGCACGGCCACC